GCTGCAGAGGGATGGGGTGAACACTGAGCTGGTGCTCAAGGGCCAGCCTGGCACAGAGATCAGGGGTCAGAGCTCTTGTGGAGGGATTCTATTTAAATGACTGGTGTAGCTGGCCTCATCTCACGTGTGAAGCAACAAGGGTGCAAGGAGCAAAGCGGAGCAGGGCACAGATACGTGCATGCCTGTGATCCCAGTGTCCTGGAGCCTGAAGCTGGAGGATTGCCACAAGTTCAAGACCAGCTGGGCTACATACTGAGTTCAAGGCAGCCTGAGCTATACAGTGAGACCCTGCCCATCCAACTTCTTGGTTAATAGAGCTGCCTCTGGGGAAGTTATGTCGGCAGATGATGCTTTTCTCTCCGCCTGCAGCCAAGAAAAATCTTTGCTATGGTTGAGTTCTAGAATGTTCTGCAGAAGTCTCATGTGTTCATAGGTGGGCCTGTTGGATCATGGGGCACTGTACTCATCCACAGATTCATCCAGAGATGACTGCATAGCGGAATGCACAGTGAGATGGAAGGACCCGCTGGAAGACGTAGGTTGAGAGCTGTCACCTGAAACTGTTTCTCTGCCCTCCAGGGCCCTTTCATTTTTCTTTTCTTTTTTTTTTTTTTTTTACAGTTTACACATACTTTATTTACTCAGTTGAGGGCTCCGTGATTGTATGTATAAAATGCTCTGTGTAGTTGATCCCAGCATTGCTCACATTGACTTCAAGAGTTCTGCTCTGGTCTTCTTGTGTTGAAGTTGCTCAGTTGCTGCTTATTGGTTTATTTTCTTTCAGGACCAAGGTGGGTGCTTTCATAGAGAATCTTATTTTTCATTCCTTTTCTGGCAATTCTTTCCTGGATTCTTTCCTTTGCATAATTGTACCTGCGATGGAACCAGCATCCTAAAGTCACCATGATAAATCTTCCTACACCAACATCACATGATCTTCTAATTCTGCTAGTTAACAAAAAGTCTCCGTGTCCAGCCACGACAGATCTTAATGAACCATACAATACTGAATCTCATGCACAGGGAATGTTTTCAACATCTAAAATTCCTAGGAGCTTAAAGGGCTTCCCCTTCGCGGGCTTGCCATGCTCGCCAGGCTCCAGGGCTGCCGCTATGGCCCCGAGTGTGCGGCTCCCGCGCGCCACCCTCAAGGCCCTTTCCTTCTCTTTTTGCTTCCAGGTGACGCTGGGTCGGGCACCTTTTCTCCTTTTCCTCTGCCACGTGGTTCCTCATGCTGCTTCTGCCTTAGAGCCAGTGACCACGGACTGAAATGAAGCCAAAATAAATCTTACCTTTAAGTTCTGTGTGTTAGTTATTTTATCCCACTGATGAGAAAGCGGCTAAGACAACTCCCTACCCAAACTGCTTTCCTGCTGATTCAACCCAAGCACTGGTCTGAAACAGGTGCAGTTGAGTGGCCAGTAAGAGAAGCCTGTCCCTACAAAACATGTTGACGTGAAGCTTGATTTCCTCCTCCTGCCCTTGACATCCTGCTACCTTAGGTCTCGCTTCAAGACCAGCAGGCTCCCCATGGATTTAGGTTTTGTGGCACTAGCGCTGAGACCCAGAGCCTCACAGAGCCAGGCAAGTGTTCTGCCACTGAGCTACGTGCCCAACGTCTACTGTTTGAGC